ACTTTTGACACCACTGGATGTGGTAAATGTTATTATTTATTTTTTTTAAATAGTCATTTAGACTAAGAAAAAATATATATATTTTTTCAGATATCAGGAATACATATCAAAACGGCTGTTGGTACCATGAACATATTCCAGGATTATTGCTTGAATGGCAGTAATTCAATGTATCTATTTAGCTGAAACCTTTTGGCAGCAGGTTAAAATTAAGCCTAAAAACCTTGTTCTAATATATAGTGGATCTGTGGATCATCTCATGCATCCCTCCATATGTTAATTCAGACTTCTTTTACACAGTAAAGTGGCTATATGCAGTCACGCTTCGAATGTTACCTTTCCAATAAATGGCCGTTATAAGCTGCTATCAGTCCCATAGAATGGCTTCAGATTGTGCCTGCATGCTCATGAGGTTGTTATCAGCGAGTGAATCCTAATCCTAAAGTAATTCTTTTTCCCCCACCGAATTAATGAATCTATATATGTGTAATCTGAAAATAATTTCAGTAGTAATCTGAAAATAATTTCAGTAGTTCTTCTTGTACTGTAAATATAACTAAATAAAATGATCCGCATCTCTCTCATATTAAACAAACCAAAAACACGTAATCTCCCTGTCAACTGAGTTGTAGAATCCTCTCGCTATAAATATTTAATTCTCTGTGAAAAAGTTCTTTAATAAGATCCTTGTTAAACTGTCATGCAGTGTTTGTTTTTAAAACCTAATGTGTGGAACAGAGCTAGTGAATTATATTTATATCTATTTTATGCACAAAAATCTGATTAAATCAGGAAATAAAACAACGTGATAGGCTATAAAGAGAGCGGAGACAGCAGACACCGAAGAAAACCTGCTACCGACCATGTTAGCTCTGAGGAGAATGTTACTATGGTGACTGAAACAGAGGTTGAGGAAACTCTCTTTGTGAGAAAGAAAAGTCAGAGTTTACCTGTTTTCAGGTTTAGAGAACTTAGAGTTTTCGGTAAACCTGCTTCTTGAAACTGACCTATTTGTCATTCTTTTATAATGACCATCTTATCCTATTTGTAGGTGCCTTTATCCCAGGGGTCCCTGTGCAGCCTGTTCTTATTCGATATCCAAATAAACTGGTAGGTATGGATAATTGCTTTATATTAACTAATGTTTTCAACCATTTGTTATAATGATGAACAAAATGGCAGTGATACAATATCTTTCGGCAAATTTGCAGCTATAGTTTGCAGTGCTGGACGCTTATATTTTGAGAATACCGGTAATGTGCAAATATCTTCAGTAGAGTAGCTATAAGATAACCTTATAATAATTAACTTGATTTGGTATAGCCATGCTTTAAAGAGGCATTTCAGTATATTGGAGGATCATGAAAAAGTGACACTCATGTTGTATAGAGGGATGTAGTCCGAGCAGTTTGTTAATTTGAATCAACTTTTCTTATAGTAGGAAGCCCAGATCCATCCATCCATTATCTGACATGCTTGTCCCGAGGGTGCTGGTGCCTATCTCCAGCAGTCATTGGGCAAGAGGCAGGGTACACCCTGGACAGGTCACTAGTCCATCGCAGGGCAACACAGAGACACACAGAACAAACAACCATTCATCATTCACTCACACCTAAGGACAATTTAGATGTTTTTTACATGTTTTTGGACTGTGGGAGGAAGTTGGAGTACCCGGAGAGAACCCATGCATGCTCAGGGAGAACATGCAAACTCCATGCAGAAAGACCCCGGGCCGGGAATCAAACCCAGAACCTTGTTGCTGCAAGACAGCAGTGCTACCCACTGCGCCACTGAGCAGCCAGGAAGCCCAGATCCGTTTTCTTAAAACATAGTGTTACTTTAGACAAATTAAATAATTTTAACACCAAACATTTTTATCAGTTAACATCAGGTAGATTTACAATCGATTCTTGGTCCAGGGCACTTTCTGCATTGTTTACTCCTTCAGTGTGGTGGGCATGGCATGAAGGCAATTATCCTGTGTACTAGAGACTGACATTTTTTCGGGAATCCCACGGGTCAGGGGATTCCCGTGGGATTCCCGTGGGATGGGAGTCAGTATTAGTAACGATCACGTGATTGGGACGGTACAGGATTAAACATTAACGGGAGCAGACGGGAGCGGGAGCAAACCAATAGTAACTAAAAAAAACTAGGATTGATGCCAAAAAATAACATAAAATAGAAAGAAAAAAAATCCAGTACTGGAGCCGCCATTTTGTAGTTTTTTTCCTTGAAGCCTACACTATAATGCGAGTCAAAAAAACTACACGACCCAAAAACCAACAGTGCTTCCGGAGTGGTGCAGGAGCGGGAGTCATTCTGAATGGGAGTGGGATGGGAGTGGGAGTAATTTCACCAGGAGTGGGACGGGACAGGATTTAGATTTCTACTCTGGCCCGGGATCGGGACGGGACACAATTTTTTTCTGTGGGAGTGGGACGGGACAGGAGTGAAAATCCACTCCTGTGTCAGTCTCTACTGTGTACTAGCTGAGGTCTTAACAATTGTATTGGCCCCATGAGAGTATGCTTTGTAAAGTATTGTTTCTTTTAAAACTGCGTGCTTTGTTCACTCAGATTATCTTGGTAGGATATTAAAATACTTGAAAAATCTAAAACATGTAAATGAAAAAAAAAAAAGTAAATCTAAAACTTTCTTACCTGAAACGACTTTATGTGTCTAAACAAAATACCTGTGCAGTTGCATAGGCATAACATGGATTCTCCTTATTTTAGCTGAATACTATAGCTGCTAGGTTGTTTATTTAATTTTATATCAGTTCTGTTTTGTAGGCAAATTAGACTTTGCTTTATGCTATGTTTGCTTTTTAGGATACAGTGACCTGGACTTGGCAAGGTTTCGGCTCGTAAGTATGATTCATCTCATATTTAACTGATACTATTTATATTGTAGGTTAAAAATAAGCTTTACTTCCTTACTAAAAGTCATGCTAACCCTACATGAAATCTATGCTCATGTTTTATAAAACTGTTTTAAGATGAATAACTTGCAGCAGTTTTTAATATTGCAATTGCATAATATTTAATAATATAACTGTAAATGAACATATGCTCTGGACTGTCCTCCTTGTAAAATGAATAGGAAGAAGCTGCTGCTGCTAACATTGTGCCAGCTCTACACCACAGTGGAGGTTGAGGTAACAGCTTGTCATGTTATGTTCTTGCCTTTCTGCTTTACCTTCCTTATGACTCTTTTCTCCTTTTTTGTGCTGCTTTTAAGTTCCTGCCACCCCACGTTCCCACAGAGGAGGAGAAGAAAAGCCCTGCTCTGTTTGCCAGCAGAGTGAGAGACACTATGGCCAAGTGCGTGCTCATTGTAAATATGGCTGTTACCTTAAGACTCATGGAATTCATTTTTCTGGCATTGAAAGCTTTGATATGAAACACTTTCCTTGTTTTAAATCGCCCTTTTAATTTTTTTTTTTACTTAATGAAGAGGGACTTATATAAAAAACAAACTAAGATGATATATTCATGTAATTGGGAAGGAAAATTAAGAAACACATCCCATCAGAGATGTCTACATATCCAAATGCTCTTTCCATAGCATTAAGGCTAACTGGTAACCCTTTTACTTTTAGGGTTTTGGGTGTTCCAGTAACAGACCACACTTATGAAGACTGTCGCCTTATGATCTCAGCTGGAGAACTAACCCTCCCCATGGAGGCTGGTCTGGTGGAATTCACCAAGATTAGTCGCAAACTCAAGTAAGACAATCTGAATCACATGTTTAAATGTATGTTTTTTTTCTGCTCCATTTTGTTATATCTTGAAATTATTCTAAACCAATTGTATTGCTTTGCTTTCATAGTCTAAAATGGGACAGTGTGAAAAAAGAACTTGAGGGTTTTGCAGCCATGGCCTCCTCCTCCAAGGGAGGACGCATCACCATTGCGGAGTTCGCAGAGATCCTGAAACTGCCTGTTAACCCTGTTCTTGAGGAGCTGTTTGCGTTATTTGACAGGGTGAGGACTGTTGTTCTGTTAGTTTCAATATCCCACGATGTAGCTTTGAATACTCTAGCACAATAAGAAAAAAAAAAAGCGTGCATGCATTATGTTAAATTTAGACATGGGACATGTTCCAGCATCTTAGTAGACCAAATTTGTTTAAAATTTACCTATTATTTCCGCAAAGCTGTTAATCTGTCATGAAATAGTTTTTAGGAGATATGTGTCGGTTTGTCCAGTCCAGTGCACCTCCCTCACCTGTTTCGGTATAATATCTGTTGTTTGGACAGTTTTTCCTACTCTAATCAGAAAGGCAAATGTTTCCAATTCAATTTAAGTCTTTCTCACAATGCCATGGTTACCTGAATATGATATAATTTGGGTCTGAGCTATCCATACTTTTTTTTTCAAACAAAAGGATGAAAAAAATTAGCACTGGTTATATTAGTTTTGAAACATTTTTGAGCAAAAGCACACAAAAAAAATTACAAGTATAAAATGAATAAGTATTTTAATATGAATATAATAGAAACACAACATAAATAGCTTTATATATAAACCAAAGGCTAAATGTAATATTTTAAATAAAATGTATCTTTTATAACTAGAAGAGAAGGAATATTAATATTGACAAAGAAGAAAGTGTTTATAAACACTTTGCTTAAAACTAAAATCATGTACTCCGTAAAATAGTTTTAAATATTCATAATTCTAACTGATCTAAGCATCAAATATAAATATTATATTATTCAATTGAACCATAAGATAAGATGAGTAAAGGCTGTGTGTAAATCAGTTATAATCTATAAAAGAGTAATAGTTTAAGAGAAAAAAGCCCATTAAATTAGGGATTGTGTTTACGGTACATTATATTTACATCCCGCTTTGTAATCTAGGTTGGAATTAGTGAAAGCTTTGCTCATGAGTGACTCATTTTCAATGGAGAGACAGATGTCGATCTTGTCTCTCCTCTGAATGCAGGCAGAGTTTGCCTATTAAAGTAGGAAGGTGCTCACAGCTGCACTCGCTGCTCACTGAAGACAGTAAGCTCAGAGCGATCTGAGCTTTTAATTGGTGTTGCCAAAGTCTCAAACAACACAGGAAAAAGTTGCGAGTCACTCTTTTAAAAATATGTTACGTTCAGTGCTTTGCTTCCTGAAAAGTTGCTTTATAGTTGTCAAGAGTGATGTTTGAGCAAGGCGAGCAGAATGTTAGTCTCTCTTATCAGGCCCCACTGCATGTGTGCCTAATAAGGAGAAGATCTGAAATACAATTTGATTTGAGTTGGAGTCTTCCAGAAAAGTTTATTGCGACATTAATAATACTCCCAAGTCAGGTTGATCATGCTTTGACAACATCATACTTTTTCATGTATAGTTTTGTCAAATTATTCTTATCAGAATTAAATGCAGCTATTAAGCGTAGAGTGCAAAACAAGCTACTTAAGACCTTTATAATATTTAAAGTATTACATCAGCATGTCTCATGTGTAATCAAAGTTACATTTTTAAGAGTCGTTTTGAGAAGTTACAAACACTCTGATCTACATTAGAATTTATATAAAAAAGTGCTTTTATATTGTAATTTTTTTTTATGATTTTATGTAATACTTATGTATCTGAAGTTCTTCCAATAAATATTTAGTTTTTAGTTGAAAACCAGAATCAAATCCTCAGGTATCATGTTCAGATTTGTTTACTCTGGGTGCTGAACGAGTCTAATCTACCTTACAGAAATATTTTATGAATTCTAAATAAAGCATGAGTGATTAAGGGATTGTCAAATATGTAATACTTGCTTGCAAACTCTCTCATGCTGCAGAACGGGGATGGCACCATTGACTTTAGGGAGTATGTCATCGGTGTCAACATCTTGTGTCGACCAGCAAACACTGAAGATGTTTTAAAAATGGCTTTCCAGGTAGGATCGGAATGTCAGTCATCTATCTTTCTTTTAAAATCTGCTTTTTACCTTTGGAGACTCCTTCAATACTTGTGCTTTTTGAACTTTTTTATTCATCTGACTTATTGCATTAGATACAATGGAGTATTAGGCCCTTACTAAGACATGTTTTAATAACTGTAAGAATAAATTCATAGAAAAAAGTAACGATAATACAAGAATAGTCTTAATATACAGCAATACAGTTATGATATTAACATAATAAAGTATAGAGAATTATTTTTTATTTCTGGGTAAATCATCTAAATACGTTGTCCTCTTTTTCTGGTGATATGTTTAAATAAGGCAGTCCTACCTTTTTCTCTGCATGCGCACTTTCAGCCACATATGTGTGGTGAGCTACGGTTTCAGACAGTCATCTAAGCTCACCTTTCTCACCGCGGTTCTTAGAAGATTGCCGGGGCTTGTAGGAGAAAAAGTGTCTATGAATTGTATGAGAAGAAAAGAAAGATATATCCCAGAATGCTTTGCGCGGAGAGCTCTCCTCGCAAAGAATTCTGGGAGCATATCCGACAATGGCGCACATAACAAAGGCAGGTGGAGGAGTTACATGAACAATGGAGCAAAAAGCAGTGATCATCCTTCCGAACGGTCGGTTAACTACTTTTGCTATAAAGTCCACTATATAGTCCCCACTGTAAGTGGACGCAGTAAGCTTATATGAACTCTGAAAACAGCATATTTTAAACAGGGCGTGCATAAGGAGAAAAGGGCTCGTGCATGCTCTTGCACGCGCATTTTTTTTTTTTTTAGTGGACAGGGTGGGTCTCTTAAAAAAATCCTCCACAATGCCTTTAATAAAATGAGAGCAAAGTCTTGATATTATAAGAAAACATGTTGTTTTAATGAGAACAATGCTTCGATGGAGTCATCAAGATATGATGATCTCACTCTGAATTTTATAGGCTTTCGGTTTATAGACCCTTACTTAATTCTTGTAATATTATGACTTATTTATTTGCCATTAAAAAAAAAAAAACATATATTTTTTGGCCCTAATTTTCCATCTTAAGACTTTTATTTACTGCTTCTATTTTTTACAATATTCTCCAAGTAAATAATGATGAAAACAAGCTGAAAGTAGAAATATTCTGTTCCCTGCCCTGCCATTACTGTCTGTGAACAGCAGTCAGAAGCAGCAGGAAACCAGAGACAGACAGGCATGGACAATATCAAGTTAACAGAAAGTGTCTCTTGGAGTCATTTTGCCAGACATGTGACCAGATATAATTTTGAACAAACATTTTTTTTTTGCTTTTATTTACTGTAACTGAAACCTTTTTCTGCTCACATTTAATTCAAGATAAGTTAAACCCCTGTATTTTATCTCATAACATCATGGTTTTTAATTCCTTTTTGCCATGCCTGCCAAAATTTTAAAGAAAGATAAAGTAAGCTTTTGTTTGCTTTTTCTGTTGCAGCTATTTGACACAGATGAGGATGGCAAGATCACGCTTGATGAGTTTAACGCTCTGCTGCGTTCAGCTCTGGGTGTCTCAGACCTTGACATGACCAAGCTCTTCAAGGAGATTGATGCAGATTCTTCTGGTTTCATCACCTTTAGTAAGTGGATTCTGTCAATTCTGTCAAGTCAAGTTGCATTTCAGCATTTAGATGCTCCAGATGTGTTTTCTTATGTGCTTTGGCGCAGACGTTGGACTGTCTTAAAAAAAAATCTGATATATTTATCCTCACCTTTACCTCCAGGCATGCCTTTAGCTACACTGGACATTAATAGTTATTTCTTCCTCTTTTTACTTGTGTTTCTTAAGATGAATTTCATGCTTTTGCCTCGAGTCATCCTGAGTATGCCAAACTCTTCACGACTTACCTGGAGCTTCAGAGATACCAAGCGATTCAAGAGGCGATGCCGGGAGATCTGGAATTAACCGGGCAGATCCAATCAGGGGAAACAAGAGAAGACAGCCAATCTGACAAAAAAGATGACTGATACTACTGTAAACTTTACTTAATTGCACTGGCATAAAAAAAACATATACACGGCTACCACATGCCAACATGTTGCCTTTCGAGTAGAAAATGAAAGCGCTTGGTTTATTTTAAGTGCTTTTATTTATTTTTTTTTAAATAGTGCCTTATAGAGTTTAAATAAAGTCCTCAAATGCAGAGTGATAGGATAAATGGTGTGAAATAAAAAATGTGTCTATTAGAAATAATTTATATCCAGGAGCAATTAGTCAGTTCTACTGTGTTATGTACTTGAATCTTGTTTTTAAGCTTGTTTTCTTAGCCTCATTCTTTCTTGCACTGTTACCTTGTCGTTTGTTTTTGTGGTTTGTATTTACATAAGAAAAAAAATGCCTAACAAACACATCTTTAATTATGAGAAAAGAGTCCCATTGCTGCTTTGTTGCTTTATAATTATTGTTTAGTAAGCTGTCGTAAGAGCTTTTCCAGCCTGTAGAGCCATTCTTACATTCTTTACTAAAGCTATGTTTACAATAAGCATAGATGCTGCGCCTTACACTTTTTTACAGCGCTAAGGGACAAAAACATTGTAAGATGCCCGTGTAATTAGCCTGAAGTTTGCTCTGCATGTCTACCTATTTGCATTTCTGGTGAAGACAGTTGTTGCTGAGACAGCACTGTGCCTGTGCTGCTTTAACTTGACTGAAGCAAATCAAGCATTGAAAATAGGGCAATTTGTGAGCAAAAAGCTAACAGTGCTTCTTCTCAGCAGCATATTCCTGTGGGGTATAAAGCTTTGAGTCTAACAAGCCACATTGTTTTTTAGTTAGCAGAGCGGTTTGCAAATCATGTAAACTCCTTTTTTTTTGGAATATTGCACACGTTGCCTTTTTAAGATTAAATGAGAACAGAATGGTAGTGCATTCTTTGTCTTCTTTATTACTGTTTGTGGTATTCTTTCACTGAGAAACTTATAATTACTGGTTCAACGGGCCGCAGGTGTGATGATGTTTCTCTAAAACTACCACAAGGTGCCAGTAGTTAGCTGTTCTTGGTGAAGTGTATCAATCCAACTCTGGAGTTTTAATAATGTTTATTGTGAGTTTATTGGATTTAATCTGACAAATGTTCTTGTAAAATAAGAATTAAGGTCTGCATTTCTGGTGTTTTCCTGATTAATCACAATTAGAATCTTTTTGTGAAAATAGATGTATTTGGGTGGACAATAAATATATTTCTAAGAAACTAACCTCTGTCGACAGGAATCGACAAAACAAATAAAAATAAAAAAAATATCTAAATATTTCTATAAATGTATTTAGATACAGTTTATTTGATAAACTAAGAATTTGATAAATTAAAGAAAATGTAAATTAATTACATATGTAATATGTTAAAATGGATGATTTTTTATTTTTTTTTTGCTTTTACGAGGAAGAAGGGATGTTTAAAACAATTAAACAATGAGCAACCAGAATCTTAAATTCCTGGTATTATTTTTAAATTATTTGTAAACTGCTAGTATAGCTTCTGCTGTAGAAATATTAATTTAAATAATATTTGTCTTGTGACAACATCTTTGTTGTTGTTGATATATGAATATAAGTATATATATATATATATATATATATATATATATA